CCGCCTGCCCGAGCCCCGGCCGGGCCGGCCAGTACCGCCCCCGTCTGCTCAGGGAGAGCTTTGCCGCCTTCGCTGCGGGCCCGCCGGTCCCGAGCGCGGCCTGAGCGGCAGCGGGAGCCGGACTGCCGGCTCCCTACCGCTACACCGAGCCAGAAATGGCCCCGGTTGCACTTAACTCTGTATTAATTACCCTAAATGTGCGCCAGAGATGAGCTTGAGATCCGTGGGGTTTAGAGTTCGGCCTAGGATGCGCCAGTGAGAACCTGTAGTCAGATGAAGTATTTTTGTTCTGAATCTTCGTGACACGAACTCCAGCGTCCGCCATCTTCTGCAACCTGCAGCACAGCAGCAGGAGTGTCTTTTTGGCAAAACTGGGGTTTAATACCAACGCATTTTGCCCGTGTCTTCTGTGACCAGACGTCACGGGATTTTTTGCGACGAGCAGAGTATTGGTGGCTGGGTTGGTTCGGTCCAAATTTTCATAATTGCCACCAAGGGGGGAAAACCAGAAAAATGTACAGGGCAACAGCTTCTTGCTACCCTGGACTATGAAGAACACAGATAACTCCACCGTAATCGAGGCATAACTTTTCCCGTGTAATCCCTAAACTATGCAAGTCTCTGGTTTACTAGACATGATAGTCCACTGTCAACAGCATTGTTTAAGTAGAGAATGCTGCTGAATTACTGAATCAAACAGCAGAAATCAGCTCCTTGTTGATTTGTTTTACTGGTTTTAGTGCTGCTGCCTATGCCAAAAGTTTGCATGCAGCAGCCCACAGCTGCTTGGGGCAAACTCTAGCAGCTGTGGAGCTTTGAAGCTTTTCTATACCACGTTATATACATGCATGTACAGACACACATATGATACAAGTGTCTGACCCACATTCTGAAGCATGGAGCCAGCTCCATGAAATGGCCAAAGGTGCAGGACTTCCTTTAAGCCATGGGTGCCCATTTTAGAGCAAGCACACCATCTTCTGAATTGAGGTCCTTCGGGTTATTTCCAGATTGCCCAAAGAAGAGTAATCAAAAAAAAGGTGCAGAAAACAGCACTGTGCACGCACAGGCACAGTCCGTATTGTGAGATGCTTTACATAGTGATTGTGGCATTGAACAGGTGAAGAAGGAGCCCTTGCTACCTCAAATCGTTTAAGGATTTCCGCTGCTACTTCTAATCTGGCCATAGATGAAAGTGATGCTGAAATCATTCACGCATCCCAATGTAATTTTAGAACACACACATTTGCTTTTTGAAATAAGCAATGAGGAGGAGGAGTTGTAACGCTGGTCCATCAGTTAATTAAAAGCAGACAAAATGCAGAGCTGGCCAGCACTCCACATTAAGGACTCAATTTAAAGCCTGTCTGTTTGTATATATTCTATAGATATATCCTTCCATCATTCATGTAGGATACTGACATCTACTGAAATATTCCCTCCCCTCCTTTCCAGAGAAGGAGGAAGGGAGAAGGAAGTTCTGCAATTTAAGAGAATTAGAAGAGACAGTTGAAGGGGGGAGAAGGACTGTCTGCTGTAGAACAGATTATCTGGCAGGACCAAGCACAACGATGGAGGAAATAATGTGAAGCTGTTGAGCAAAGGAGGAGGGCACATGGCCCTAAGGCTTGGTGTAGTGGGGAACGAGCACATTTCTGGGAAAACAGTCTCAGGAGGAAAAAGAAATGCACATGGAGAAGCCCAGATGTGGAATGGGAAAATACAGGCACTGAATAAAAGCTGTGATCACGCAAACAAAGAGAACAGGATGTCACGAATGTGCCCGTGCTCACTTCTCTCCCTATGATGCACGAGGAATGTCAACAGGTTAGTCTGTTTCCTTTGACAATCCCAGAGGACAAACATAATTTTGAAGTGTTTAGAGATCTTTGCAACTTTACATGCCTCGTGTGAAAAGCTGGGGTTCTAAGACATGCTTGCAATAGCAGGTTTTCATAGAATATAAATGAGGGCTAAACCACCATTGAGCTTTCAGTTTGTATTTATTCCACATTGTCAGGAGAGCAGAGGTTATGGGATGTAATGAAATGCTATCAAAGGGATTGGGCTGGAGGTGCAGGAAGGAGATTTTAGGATATTAGTTTAAACAGGAATGGCTCCAATATAGTCAAGCTATGTCCCAGATGTTAACTCATTCAGGGGTTTTGCACTGACTGAGCTAGAGACCAAAAGGCAGGTCTGCATTTAAGAAATAACACATCTCTGTTTTAAGAACAGATGTTGATTGGGATAGGGAATATTTGCTGTTCTGGACTATTCAGATAAATTTAGCCGGTAGACGCAATGCAAAGAATAGTCACACATCTCCTATTATGTCTAAGAAAAGGTGGAACTACATCCCTTAAAACACATGGAAGGTTGAACCTCCCTGCCCTGCATTGTAATGGCCCTTTTCGTCCAGTGCCAAGAGAGGTTCCCAGGCTGCTTGGGAGAGCTGTCCCCCTACAAGTGTCATCCCTCCAACTCTGCATGTGGTAGGTACAAGCTCCTATAACAGAGTTTTAGCTTGGCGTGGGCCAGATTCACCTCCCACCTCCGGTATAACTCCAGTCTAATTAAGCCAAGAACTTATTCAGCCTGCTATCATTTTTTTCCATAACCATCTTTTCACAGAGGACATGCCTCTGCCAACTCTCAGGCTGTGATTAGGGAAGAGTCTGGATAGAAATGTTGACAATATGCTTGCAGAGTACTAAATACCATTGAATATGGTCTGTAAATATTTACACTTGGAGGAAGAGATTTGCTCTTTGCATAGTTTGCATGCTGGCATCTGCTAGGCTGAATAAATTACTAATAAAAATCACATTGTGAAAAAACAGTCCATGCTGATTCTTTGGAGCTATTTTATTAAAGACAATGGTGTGATAAGCAAATACATTCCTTAGGAACTACATTCTCTCCAAAATTTCAGTGCTGGAGTAGGCACTATTGGTCTGTGGAACTGAGGCAGCACACACTGCAGGAGTGCAGGTTTCCCTAGCGAGGAGCCCTAGGCTGAAATGAAGGACATTTTAGTTGGGGAAGGAGAGCCCTTCTCCAGCAGGACTAGTACCTGCAGCCAGCTCTACAGTGGCTGGCTTTGGCATGACAGTCTTGAAGGGATTTGGCCATGGTTCCTTTCTGGTCTTGCATCTTTCCCAGCCCAGAATTCAGTCCCACTAAATCGTGAGTCTGACCAGCTCTTGTAATTTTGAGTCTTTTCTGAGCATTCTAGCTTCCTCAATCAAGATACTGCATGAGAATCATTTTAAAATGGCTTTGGTATATGTGAGGAAATGTCTGGAGATGTGAAACAAAAGTGCTCCCAAACATGGAAATGTGGATAAGCATATCTCAATTTCAGTGAGCTGAACTCCTCATGTTTGAGCACAGCAGTTCCCATCCACTGACAGCTGTCACTTAAAAGTCAAATTTCATAATTATAATTCCAAATGCTCTTTATAAACTTATTTTAAAGCCAAGATTCTCACGTAATACAATTGTAGCAATGTGCACCAAATTAAAGAATTGGTCATAGGGAGAGACCGTCAAATTGACTGCATTTTGAATTATTATAAAGAATTAAATACATGCAAACAGCTAAAAATTATCTTCTCTGTGCATCTGCAGGACCCGTCATGATGCTCCAGTTATGTTCAGACTCCTAGAGCTGTCCCACTGGCATCATGTTACTGCAGCTTCATCATGAAAAATGGATATCATGCTCTGCCAGAAATCCTGCCTCTCTGAAGCCATGGGAATCTCTGAAGCACAAGTTAAAACATACATTAACTCCTCACAGCTAAGAAGCAGCATGAAAGACATTTCTAGCAGTGTATTATCAGACATATATTGTACCTGACATCATGGCACAATGTGTTGCAACATCCTGTACTTCACTATCTTTCTCGTTGCTGGCTAGCATTGCTTCCTGGTGCAGCTCCTTGCTAGGCTCATCATCCTTGATGGAGCCGAAGAGAAAGTACAGCTGAGAGCGGAGGGAACCTGGGACTGAAGAGAGCCACAGACTGTGCAAGAAGTAGGGCAGAAAGGGGGTG